TCATGATGCGAGTCAATCATATCAAGAGCTCATAATAGAGAATAATCTCTATTATGAGCTCTTAATCATGTCGATATCAACTAGTGTCTGAAAAACTTTCATGCAAAGATACGATAGCTATACGAAGCCCGTACGTCCAGGGAGATACATTTGTTCATAACCGCGAAAAATTTCAATAATAAATTATGGCAAAATTCAGCGTCTTCTAAATTCTAATAACGTGATTTTAGCAGGTATGATATTATGTAAATCTTATTCAATGTATTTACGGATAAATACTACCTCATAACCAATTCGCTGCGTTAGATTTCTTTCGACATAAATGCCCCCCAGATAAATCCCGCTGACAATTACTGCCAATTATTTCCTAACCAAATGTTCGTGACAAAGCTGATTATCCAGAAAATAAGCCCTAATGGGTAAGACGATGACAAGATTATAGCGTCCCCACTGGCAAATATCTACCTACATGCAGTCATAAAATCCTGCGGTAAAAATCCGAGAAAAAAACGCGCGAAATGTAATTATTTTTATGCAAAAACATATCTCAAAACAAATAAAAATAAATCTGCTTCGATTCGCTTCATTTTTACTTGCCCTGTGCTACTGCGCTCCCCCTCTCCCTCTCCCCCTCTCCGCTTCTCCCTCATACTCTAGCTCTCTCTATCGCTCTCTAGCTCTAGCTCTCCCTCCCTCTCTCTCTGTCTCTCTCTCTCTCTCTCTCTAGCTCTCTGTCTCTGTCTCTGTCTCTGTCTCTGTCTCTGTGTCTCTGTCTCTGTCTCTGTCGCTCTCTCTATCTCTCTCTCTAGCTCTCTCTCTCTCTGTCTCTCTCTCTCTCTCTCTCTCTTTTTTTTTCTCTGTCTCTCTCTCTCGCTCTCTCTCTCTCTGTCTCTCTCGTGGAGCATCTGCACGCCCTTTCTTTGATGTCGGGCATCAAAGTGGCAGTATGCAGACTGAGTTAAATTAACGAAGGTGTTCGTCCAAAAATATCTCGTTTATCACGCTTATATAAACACCATCATTGGCATATATGCTCTTAAAAATACAATAACGATAGCAGAGCCTAGCTGGTAACTGTTGAAAGCAACACTGCAAGCGTGACTTTTGTGTTTGGCATCTCAACACAATCTTCAGTGTCACAAATCTAACATAACTAATGAGTTGTAAATAGCATACTACAGATAGCAAGATATTTCACATCTACACAGTAGGCAGGACATAGAGCTTCAATGTTGTGCCATCTACAGTGCTGCTCCCATCCTTTTATTTATGAGATTAAACCATCTTAGCTGAACCACTGATTATCACGAAAACAGTTACACGATATTGCACCAAATTACAGGCTAACGCTCCATTAGGAGTGTTCCCAACTTTGATATCATTAATGATTAATGGTTAATGATTAATAATCCTAACCCTAACCCTAACCTAAATGACATTAAACCACAAACTAATATATGACCATGACCATATATATATATATATATGTTATTATGACCATTAAGTTAAGAACACTCCTAATGGAGTATCACCCAAATTACACGTAGAAAGTTGAAAACCCCAGCCGTTCTACTTGCGCGCATCATTGGTTTATGTGCTTATGACCGCCTGGTGCCATCTATCGGCTAAAGTAGTATTCATGTCAGAAATATTTTCTGAAGTATTCTTCACGATAGTACCACCTTAATGGGTAATTTTTACAATAGCATTATAGTAGCATAATTCACCAACATCAACAGTTCTCCATTGATTTCCCATAATAAACTGGTATTGGCTGTAAAGCTATAGCTACTATAACTTATAGTTCAGCAAATAACAACTGACATGAATTAGGATATTTTGTACGTGTTATACTGACCACATCAACTCTCTTTAGTTATGGAAGAAACTATATAGAATATTATATTCCGGAAAACACAACCAGAATAATACTTCAATCCACATATAAAATGTTAGTTTGGCTGCTTCGACATGTGCACGTTTATAAAATTGTCTTACCAATTACATTTGTTCCTTCTTACTGGCTATTTTGATTATTAGGGTACACTTAGGTAGTAGTACTGGATATTTCTTACACAATGTACAAAGTTTTGCATGTGATATTGAGAACTCATCTTTATATGTAGATAATGATCACTCTTTATATTTATTTCATTATAGTTTTCACCTACCTGAAAGTGGTTGAAGATCAGATCTGGGTTGAAATAGAGCTGGAATGGAGTGATCACATCTAGTTGCTGCAACAAAAGAACAATTTGCCAATATATGTTATATTATAACATGACAGAAAAAGCCAATAACACATTAATACTATAATTTGAAACTTCCTTAACATGCTCTGCTTTAGCAAAAACATTGCTGTCCACATTAAAATCCATTAGCACGTTCCACAATTTCACAAATTTCCACAAGCACCACGATAGAAAAATGAACAATCAGTGTGAACTACCTATACATGCTCAAAAATACCAATTACGACTACTCTTTACAAAAATGTTACATATATAATTTCCTTTTTCTGCCTTATTCATTTGTATTTACAATCTTCACTCAGGGGGAATGTCAGATAGAATGCAGCAAGGCCGAAACTTTTTATCGCATCTTTACATTGAGTTGCCATGTGGTTCTATGATAGTTTTTAGTCAGCCAAACTAGGAAAACCCTAATTTAGCTTGTCCCCACACGTTTTCCATTCATCTTGTGGAAACGTATATATAAAAAGATACTAAAATACCACATATTGGTGATGTTTATTCAGCAGAAATGAAGGACCATGATATGGTCTGTATTCTATCATATGTATAGAAGGCAAAGATAATTTTTGCCACAAGCACCTGTGACTGTGCACAGTCATAACTGGTGTTACATAAAAATATAAACATATACTTATGTCTATGAATCCAGGCTACATATGAAGTGTCAACCATTTTCTATATCAGTGACTATATTGCCTGATCAAGTCAATGGAAAACAGAAGGGATTCTTAATATTTAGGTCGCTGTACGTACTACACTTGCTTCTGATGTGACGTCTGATATCGTCATCATGTAAGTCAACAGCTCTTTGTAAACCATGCAATGATAACTAGATTTTTGCAAAATCCATTGTTATCGTCATTACGGCCAGTCACTGTTGTTCTAGGTTTGGCATTTATTTAGTATTGTTACTCTTAGCAAAAACCCATCTCTTTCTCTTTCTCTCTCGCTCACACTCACTCACTCCCATACATATGTTCCTGCTGTTAGTGATTGATAGCGTTTACAATTACACACATATTGTACGGGCCCCGATATCCATTCTCCAAGCCATAGACTCGAGGAAGAGGTACACGCACAGGTATTATAATATTGGCAGTGTATACAGCCACACGCGTGTCTTTACCATCCAGCCACACGCATGTCTTTGCCATCCAGCCACAGGCATGTCTTTGCCATCCAGCCACACGCGTGTCTTTGCCATCCAGCCACACGCGTGTCTTTGCCATCCAGCCACACGCGTGTATTTACCATCCAGCCACACGCGTGTCTTTACCAACCAGCCACCCGCGTGTCTTTACCATCCAGCCACACGCATGTCTTTACCATCCATCCACACGCGTGTCTTTACCATCCAGCCACACGCGTGTCTTTACCATCCAGCCACACGCGTGTCTTTACCATCCAGCCACACGCGTGTCTATAGCGACTCCAGTATGGTGCGGATACAGCCACAGCAATTTAATATTCAGATCAGGTTCATGTTGATCTTGTTCAGGGGCTGTAGATCTAAGACATATGTATTTATCTGTTTTAAACGTCTAAATTACGAGTGCAGTGCAGTGTCTCTGTCCCGTACGCGACTCTTCCCGGATTCCGTAGCCGGTGTATATGCACTGCGTGCATGTCATGTACTTGTACGTGTATATCATGTGTGTACAATGTACTCCGCCTCCATCCAGCTACTTGTGTATGCGCGCAATGTGTATGTGTGTGTGCATGTGTAGTTCGTGTGGCTGGATGGTAACGACACGTACACGCGTGTGGCTGTATATGCTGCCAATATTGGCAATAATATTACCTGTGCAGAAAGCAACAATGACTGAGTATGCGCAGCAGTGCAGTGAGATTGTAGTAGAGGTTAGAAGGTTTGAGCCTCTGGCCAAATTATTGCCATCTGGAGCAGATGAACACGTGCGTAATTTTAATATAATTTTAAATTTAATTACTGAAATCGTTGATCGTTTGCATTCACTGACATTGTCAGTAAATGACTGTAATTGAACTTGATTTGAGAAAAATACTTACGACTGCCACCGTAGTTAATACACACGCCGTTGTGTACGCCCGCGTTATAGGTGGCATATTCATGTATTCTTGCTGAAACGTTTGGTACGCCATGATGAGAGATAGTAGCCGATCACAGCCGATGAACGCCACGTCAGTTTATGAACATCCGGCACGGCAGATGTAAACTTCCGGTCCGCTATCGCCAACGTAATGGTCAAACTAGATTTGTCATACGTAATGCCGGACCCTTCGAATGCTTTATTGACATGGGTAGAAAATGCACTGTGATGATTATAAATTATATATGTGTCGTAATCTAAATAAATAATGTTTTTTTACGATAAACACTTTTACGCCGATAGGTGGTGCTGTAACATTGTTGTTGCGCGAGCAGACGATTGTATGTTTACATTTTTGCCAACCATCCGAACTGATTCTTGTATTTACTGGATCTACTATTACTAATAAGTAAGTAGTTATTAATTAAAACGTCGCAATTCCACAAGTCTAAGTGACTATATTACCAAAGGTTCTCACGTTATATTTACTGTTGTGTAAATGATTGAATCAATGAATCATAGACATAGTCATTAGTCATGTCATGAGTACCTATCTCATTAGTCCGAGCCGACGCAGACTCCAGTAATGGGGTGATAAACCCGCACCCTCACATTACCAAAGCGGAGTTATAACGTCTGCATTTGCGGACTACTATCTCATCTGCTATCAGTATCAGGCTATCATCATATGACAATGTCAATGAAATGATTGTCAGATTGAATAAGACACTCGCTCAATTTTGAAATAATGAAATTAAGTAACAGATTCAACCTTCTAACTTCTAGATTTTGTTAGGTACATCTCTGTTAGAGTCGGTGTCAAACAGTAAACTGTACGCTGAAATATTTAAATACACGCCTTCTAAATATGCAAATTGCAATGTCTCAGTTCATGAAACGTGGTACAGTGACAGTGTGATCGCATTTGACTTGTGGTTCTGCAAACTGTTACTCTTTAGAAAATAGTAGAAATCGTATTGCCTCCTTTAGTGCATGTTTATGATGTTATGTTATCTAGTAGTAGTATTACATGAATTAGAATCATCTCTTGCCTAAGAGTAAGATGGTGTCGGTGTACTAATGCTGATAGAGTCTATGTCCCCCAGAGTAATATCGGAGGGTACCCTGGGTACGGTTCAATATATCGAAAAGTACCTCGGGGTACTATACGATATGTCGCTGTGTACCCTGCATTTTCCCACCGTACCCTGACTTTCAGCCAACTGATGTTGTAATACATACACTCTGTCAAGTTACTACATCACATAGAAGAAACCTCAAAACATCGCAATCCAATAAAAATGTATGCTATATGTTTGACAATATATTTTTCTTTTTCCTTTTTTTTTAACAAAGAGCTAGCTTTTATATTTTAGTTTTACAACATCAGAAATACGTCCGATAAAGTCAGGGTACCGCGGTGGGACAATGCAGGGTATGCAGTGACATTGTATAGTACCCCGAGGTACTTTCCAATATATCAAACCGTACCCAGAGTACCCTCCGATAGTACCCTGGAGAACATAGACCCTATCAGCTGTACTAATACTATCGCTGTAAATTTTTTGGTTTTGTTTTATAGGTAAACCAGCTTCACATTGTTTGCTAATTGCACTAAAGTATATGCTAACATTCTAAGGGCACTACAAAACGAAAGGAGAATGAGTGGTGTGGCGCAGTTAGCACGTGGCCCAAAGACTGGAACGGTATAATTATAGTGTTACTAGTAATGTATGTCTATCACTGAGTATCACTGTTAAATGAACAAGAACTGCATTTACTTATATGCAAGCAAAATATATGCTATATCATATGTACACATATATATATATACATGTGTATAGATAGATACATTACTTGTTAATAAAACACATTAATAAATTGATATAATTAATAGTGGGGAGAAATCTTTCCAACGGAGCAAGCTGTAGAGCAACAATCACTGCTGTTTATGAAGAAATTGGTTGCTATGGCAATTTCACATGTTGCATATTTGAGAGCTATCTTCCCTGAGAATGCCTTTAGTGATCGCTGTCTAGAAGGTATGACTTGCTTAAATTCGAATATTAATCATTTTACACATATTGGTCAATATAAACATTCAATAGTTAGAAAAACCCAGCTGCCATGATCTGCACTGTACGTTATGTTATTTTGGGATACTTGTCAATTTCCGCTATGTACACTGGATATGGGGACAATTAAGGTGGTGCGGCAATACGTGTGTATCTGCCCTGTCGCACAATGCTGTCCATGCCATTTTCTAAAATTTCCACATTTATTCATGGTTTTTTTTTTAAACTTTAGATCATAAACATATATCCTCTGATGGTCTAGCCAGTAATCTACTCAACATGCAGTGAACAGCATCTTTCTTTTTTAAAAGATTTGAGTTTAAAGATCTTGAGAGATGACTCTTCGTGCCCTGGAGCCTGTCAGGTGATTCGTTGGCTTAAAGGAGTCTTTGATGCACTAGAACGAAAATACGTGAGTTTTCTAAAGCGTATGTGTAATTTTATACAGACCTGTTCATGCTATATATAATAATTCCATAACCAAGTATTTATTAATGTAGTACGTATAGTAACGCTGAGAGGGTCTATGTCCCCCAGGGTACTGCCGGAACGTACCCTGGGTACGGTCCGGTATACCGGAACGTACCCTGGTACTAAATACTACTATCTAATATGCCGGACCGTACCTTGCCTACTTCTACTTCTACGTTATATTGGCCACCATCAACATACTGATGATTATGCCAACAGGAGGCGCTAGTTGAGACTAAAATAAAATTTTCCTTCCCTTGATTTTCTAAAGAAAAAAAACCAAAAAAGCAAATTTTACTTAAAAAACTGCCCTGATGTCCTACTCCACTAACGAGTCTAGGGAGTTGCCTACCCCTACTCCCTAACCCTAACCCTATAACCATATCAGCTATATAGTTACCAGGGTACGTTTCGGTATACCGGACCGTACCCAGGGTACGTTCCGGCAGTACCCTGGGGGACATAGACCCTATGAGCTATAGTAACGTGTAATAAATGCAGATTGTTGATGGGTTGTATTGATTTTTATTTTTATTTTTTTCAGCTACGAATGTTAATCCTAGGAGTAAGTATTTTTTTTTACCAAATATTATACAATATATGATGCCTTTTTATAAGTAGTAGAATTTATTTACATCAAAACATTCTACTGTTAATACTGAAATTTACACCATTTCTGCTTTACAGATATATGTAGACCCTACTCAACCAGAGGTGAGTTCATACAATCATTACGAGCTATTAAAATACAGTTATATAGCCATGCATTAAACCTCTTCACAGATTTCAGTGTTGCATCAATTACATATGATTACAATTTCCTACTGCCCCATGACAGTGAGATTATTTGTGCGAGTATGGTTGGCTGAGACATGTTGTTGCTTTCTATTTTCAGAAGCTAATAGAGTCATATACATTCAAATTCAGCTATCATGCTGATAGCAGTGGAGTGACAATCTTCAGGTACATGTTAATTTTCACGACGTTTTAACATGTGTGTAGCATGACTAAAACTCTTGCTTGACCAGTTTCAATCGCTCAATTCCCGTGCTGGTGAGCCAGCAAGAATCATCGTCCTCTATCTCACAGTGCTCCTCGCTCCACATTTTCATTACAGAAACAGCCAGAAGATGGCAGCAGCAAAGTCAGCAGCAGAAACCCGAAAAGCCACAATGATACTATTGCGCACACTCGTGGTGCTGACGCAGGGGCTCGGCTGCCTTCCAGATGACGTCATGATGACCATGAAACTTCTCTACTATGACGAGGGTGAGCATACCTCATAAATACGATACGTGCTCATACAGCGAGACCACGCACTCCGACCGTGACGAAAAGTGTCTCTAAGAAGTCTGAAAGTGGCTTAATCACATTAAAACTCATATCCTCACAAGTTTAACTTGGAACTCGCGCATATATACGGAAAGAAGCATTGACACTTTTTATACCTAGACAGTTTTCAAGGTTAAACTAGTACTGCGTGTCTACGATAGATGCTATGTCACCTGTAACTTGCCTTCAATCTTTCCGCTTAGTGACCCCTCCGGCATATGAACCGCCAGGCTTCAGACCATCGGACACCGACTCGTACATGTACGAGGATGAACCCGTGAACATAAAAGCTGGCGACGTTGCAACTAAATTCCACAAGTAAGCTGCTCATCGAGCCATTGATATTAGTTGTAATCGCCCGTTCTGGCGACCGGTTGACATATGATAGATAAGAGCTCTCCGGAGCAGCTGCAAGAGTGAACGGATTATTGTTACGACAGACTGAAGGTTCGAATCAAAGTTAGCAAGAAGAACTTTGGAGAGGATGGTGTAGATGAAACGGATGCCAATGTACATCCGGTGACCAACGAAGGATTGGATAACTCGGACGATGACCTCTCTGACCAAATGGACGTTGCGGCGGAAAAGGTGCATTTTATTTATCGCTCGTAAATAGGTTATTTCAAATTGGCCCTTTAGTTGCATTAAGGGTATCAAGCCCTGTTAGTTTCCCATAGCTTTGACAATCTTTAATTGTACATCTGCCTTGATCCCTAAGTTAAATCTCCAATAGCTGACATTTCAGTTGATCCACATGCTGCTAGGAAAGTCAAACGTTACACTGATACATTGTTAAAGGTGTTGAGCAGCAACTCTTCATCACAAGAAGAAGGACAAACACGATTCGCATCCACCACTGCGAAAGAACCTGCAGTGCCCGACCCCATTAGCCCCACACGGCCGTCAGGTACGCGTTAGATTATAAACCTTTGTGTTACCACACATACACAAATCAGTTTACCCTGTATGCGAAAACGTCAAGCATAACACCTTTATCGAGTTAAGGTATATCTACGTGCGTGCAGGCGCCAAGGCACCAATCACAGGCGCTGGCGACGGGGCCTCTCCAGGAACTATTGCAAAGCAATTGCAGTACCTCGCACAACGAACAGGCCAGCTCGATCTCTGTCGCACGTCTGAACAGCTGGGTGCAGAAGATAGGAGCAATAGAGCAGCCGGTGTTGCTAAGGGTAGAAAGAGACTGCTCAATATCGAAAACAAGGTAAGGTAACATTTTGCTACCAAGGAACGAGAGAACTGGACATGTTGAGTTTTAATGGGACGCACAAAACTGGATGATTGCAGGTACCTGAAAAACCACTTTCAATGCCTATCTGTCCTCTCTGTTGACACACACTGGCTTGATATTATATAAACTGAGGTGGCCTTGGCAGTAACCCTCCAAAATCACAAAGTCTCAAGGGTGCAGGGTGTAAGCTAATAGTGCAGTGTCTACAAATATTTGTTTCCATCTGCAGCCTGCGCTGCATGATAGCCAGGAGTCGGACACACAAGTCAACCAGCGCCGCAGCAAGCGCCGAAAAGCCAGCAGAGCCAATTAACCACGAAGAGTTGGCGTGATATGCTTCCATGAGCAAGAACGGGGAAAAGCAGAAAGGCACATGTGCATTTAGAACCTGAACGAGAGACCAGTATCGTCGGTGGCAGCTGTGACATTCACTTAACCTGCTGGATCCGCATTGCTGAATCATAATCAACACGCAGCCAATGATTTTTTAATTAGAACTAGCTAGTGTCAAACGAACAAGCTAGACTGATGTGGCTGTGACAAAAAGGAACCAAATTATAATACAAAAGGAACGAAAGAAAGGAACGAAATAGAAATACATCTTAAAATTAATTACTTATTTAATGTAATATAAATACAAAGAAGATTTAATGCGCTAATATATTAATGGAAACTTTTATATTGTTGATTTTGTTATAAATCCTAATAATGAAGTTTAACCAAAGCAATTTCCTAAGCCTGAATAGACTTTTTTGCATTTAACACATTTTATAAAGAATTGTTTATTTAGAATTTACTGAGAAAAATAATAAAAATTCATTACAAATACTTCTTGTTAACTGTGATTACTGGAACCTGGACTTCTGCTGACTAGCATACCTGGGCTTCATCAGGCAGGCCGTAAAGGGGACGTTGAGTTTGTAATTTACAGCAACCGGTACACATACCAACAGATTAAGAGAGTCAAGAATAAGTTTGTTTAGCCCAGTGTAATCTTAGGGAGTTTTAGTTTAAAATGTAAGATATTTGAACTACAAGCCCACCCTCAATTGTGTATTGCATATTACATATTGAATCATCGACAAAGCAATTTTTAAACAAAGTTTTTGTGATTCGTATTTATTTATCACACAGTGTCTAAAACCATAATCCATGAATAATTAAGTTTTGATACAATTTTTCAGTGTTTCCTTACATTCGGATGCACTTACACAAACGTATACCTATAATGTAGTTTCCGTACTCTCCAGTATGTTTTTACTTAGGCCTTACATTGAATTCACCTCACTACAGATAGTTTGACTACTTGCTAACAGTAACTACTTCTACTTGCATACAAGCACCTATGGTAGGGATAAATGGTATTTTAAACAAAAACAAAACTAATTAAAAAAAAATTCACAACAAACAAGCACAACAAATTTCTTAGGCCACACTTATAATTTCTTGTTTGAGGTATAACCTCGCCAGATGGGTTAGCATGCATACAAAAATTGTTTTATTTCAAATTTTAGATGTAACCTAATCCATGTACATTCTTATGCCAAATTCCAAAATGATTTTTCAAAGCTAATATCTTTTCCTTAGATATCATGATTTGGGCTTTTTATAATAAACAAGACAATTTACTTAAGGGTGACTTTTACTTCCACAAGATGACAGCATAATATATGTAATACGTGTATCACATATATCATGAAAGAGCGGAACAACATAATGCTACATTGTAAGGATTTCTTGCTACCAGCAGCCTACTGCTAAGATGACTAGTGATTACTCCGACCTCTTGGTGCCCGTTTTTAAGCAAACGTTCCAGCATTGAAGCCGACATCTTCGCTTGGAGCGTTGTAGAAGGTAATGTACATCCTGAAAGTGAAACAGATAAGATGATTTTACTTATTTAAAACTCACATGTGCACTTTGGATTTTAGAAATTGACTCCGATTGGTACAACTCCCTCCCGGGCCCTCCCCCATCCATAAACAGCATGCCTTCCAAAATTCCTGGGGGGAGGAGCCTATCACGGTAGTCATACATACTACTCAATTAATAATACTGGTTGTTCAGCGAATTTAAGAGATGGATTTAACGTCTCAATTAAAAATATTGCACACACTCAGAATTTACGTGAAGTTACATTTTATAATATTTAAATTGGTAAATTCAAATTACAACTTTCCTGAAGCAAAAAATGTAGTCGACTAGGTTTCACAGCATATGAAATTAACAGTAGTCCACTTAAATGGTTGTTGATCCTATCTACTAATCTGTGAGTAAATGTTACAGTTTCAAATTACAAACTTTTATAAACTTTCCATGATGTTTTGCTATCGATCTATTCCTCCCGACGCAGTCTCCAAACGTACCTGTCAGAGGGGACACCCAGAGTTTTTTTGATGTGGTCAGAAAGAGCTTTGCTGGTTTTCTTATTCTTGTCACGGGAGATGGACCCGATACTCATTAGAGTACTGATAGCACAAGGATCTTCGGTGCCTCCAAAAGACATCTTCACACCAGGCTGAATTGAGATTGCCACATACTACAAAGAAATAAGAATGCACGATAACAGCATAAGGACAGTAGAAGGGATCATTTCATAGAAAGCACATGGATACCTATTACCTTGCTGTTACATACGGTTGTACCACTTGTGTATCTCTTATGATACATGTACATAGATAGGTCTAGCATGCATTCATATCAGGACACAAGTTAAAATTAATTCTGTTGAGCATGGCAATGATGTAAATAGAGCCACATAAATCTATGCACAAATGGCTGCATCACACGCCCCCAACACACGTGCACTGTGCACACACACGCGCGCACACACACACCCACACACACACTCGCAAGCACACGCACAGACAGTCACAACACACACACACGCACACGCACCTGTTGTAGGCACATGCGCACGCACGCACGCACGCACGCACGCACGCACCTAACAAATGCACGCACCTAACAACACATGCAAATACACATGCATGTGCTACCTGACATATTTTTATAAACCTTACATTGATAAATATTAGCTCGATTTATTGATTTTTCATGAGAGCGAAGGTAAATTACCGCGGGTACCTGATCAAAGTGCATTTACTTGGGTCTTGAGTTTAAACTCATAACCATGCAGCAGTAACCTGCAAGCAACTGTCTAGACTGACTTATGTGCTGCAAGCGAATGATGTTGCATCTGCTCATGTACGTGACAACTGACAACATAGTTTGAATTCCCAGCTAACACATAACGTTTCCACAACGTTGCTCGAATGTTGCAGTTTGGTTAAGACTGTCACAGGAACTGTACATGTATATATGCATACTTGTAGTTATACATATAATATAGGTGTGGTGGGAAGTATTATTTGTTTGTGTGCATGACTGCCATATAAACTGACAGCACTACTGATCTACATAAGTGCCGATAACAGTAAGCTCCCACAGCAGTATCACTGGCACATGGTTACAATCTGCATGCTAACTACACTGTGAGTAAAGTTCCCCATACACCGAGAGGTAAGATATTTGCAATCTGACTTATTCATAATTTCGTCAAATATCTTGTGTCCATTTTCAGATATGTCATAAGCCTAACATGTCACAACTTTTCCACAGCACTTCAATTCAAAAATTAATATATTTTAGACATGACAGCCATTTATCTGTTTTCTATGGTTCTGACAATGGGCCCATGAAAATGAAAAGGATAAACACCAGGGGAAAAAATACACGGGGGCGGCGGGCGATTTCGCCCCCGAAATGCCAAAAAGAGCCCCCGAAAATACGATATCGAAATACCACCGGGGGGCGGCGGCGATTTCGCCCCGAAATTGCCAAAAAGAGCCCCGAAATCATATCGAGGGCGGACCCCAGCCAAAAAGGTCGCCTGGGAATCGATTGAGTCCAGGTCGGTTCCGCGCCTTGCGGATTCCTCGCTCGGCGCTCTGCGCTAGCGGCAGGCCGGTTCCACGGCGCGGATAGAATTCCTAGTACGAGTGTGGTGTCAAGTGTTTATCATTAGCTGGCATGTGTGATTGCATTCCATCAGACGCGCGCGCCGCGCCGCGGTATATTATACTGTGTGTGCCTGTGCGCGTGCTTGCCGTGTTGTGCCTGCGCGGGCGTGACCGTTGCGGTGTGCCTGAGCGCGTGGTTCGGTTGTGCACTGCTGCGTTGCGTGCGCCGTGCGGGCGTGCCATGGGTTGTGCCGGTGGGTGTCTGCGGCGCTGCTTGCCGGGTGCTGCCTGCGCGCGCTGCGTGGTGTGTGCTCTGCATGCGCGGCGTGCTGCATGCGTGCGTGCGTTACGTGATGTGTGGGCGTGATGCCTGCGGGCGTGCCTACGAGTTAAACCCGTAGGACCACGACCCGTAGGATTATAGAACGGTAATCCATGGAAATCCTAATGAAATTCACACACGTATTATTTTTCCCTGCCAGGCACCACTCGTGTGTCATTTCCGATTGTAGTTTGTTTTTGTTCATTCGCCCGAAAGAGCTTTCTGCTGCCGCTCTCTCATAGTCCAGCAATGCACCCTTCTCAAATTTTTAGTAGTTGATTAGTACCAAGCTGAAACAATCGTGCCCCCCTTACTTCATCAATGCCGCCCTGCAGCAGGCGTACGCAGCGTCGATGTGCCAGCATTCACACGTGCTCGCGGGCTCGAGTCCGCTTCTTCACAACCCTGAGCTTCAGGGCCCTTACGGCGGCCTTGGACCCCAGCCGCAAGAGGGACTTCGCCGTATAGACGATCGATCCTCCTAGCTCGTACAGGCGGACCATTCCACTAATTGTGGCTAGCCGTAATGTTCTGTGTTTAGTGAAACCTGTGATGCTATTCACTATTCAAGCGCGTGCATTGGTGGTTGTGATGTGAGTTGTGCTTATCTATTGATCTGTTCAGTTGCTGACTAACTGTCTTGAATATTGTACGTGTATGTGTCTTGTGTGTCTGTGTGTTTGTGTGTGTGTGGGCTGTGTGATGCGTGGTGGGCGTGCCCGTGCGTGCAGTGCGGTGCGTGCGATGCGTGGTGCTTGCGTGCGTGTTGTGCGGTGACTTTGACGTGTGTGGGTGTGTGCGCGCCCGCCACGAGTGTGTATTGCCTCTTGTGCTTGTGTGTACATTGAGGAAACAGCCCTGGAAAAAAGTCGCACCTGGAAAGATGGAAAAAGAGCCCTGGAAATGAAAACGTAGCCCGCGGAATTTTGGGGGGTTGCAAAAGGCCCGGAAAGAAAAATTAAGTTTTTTCACTGATAAACACTATAGCATTAAATAAAATGAATTTACTGTGTATATATATATATCATCATCATGTGGCTATAGCATACTTACAGAAACATGCCTGACTCTAGCACACACACAAACAAATAGACACATATCAAGAGTCCATATAATAAAGATATTGAATTCTCTATATCCTCTAATTTATCAATATTCTCTATATTCTCTAATAGAGATATAGTCTCTATTATAGACTCTTGACACATATATGGATACATGTTTCTATGTTACAAGTTACAACTTACTGTATGCGCTGTATATTTCGCAGTGGTTTAATTTTTGTGAATTTCACGAACGCGTCCTCGACCGCGAAAATAACAACACGTGAATAATTCAATACGCGAAATACTCCGAATAAAGTATAATTACTGACCGTGAAATTAACCACTCCAGCAGAATTGCCGCGTAAGTCAATGAATTCGTTAAATATATCTGTACGCGGAAAATATGGCGTATACAGTATGAGCAACAAGTGGCAGTGTGTAAAAGTTGCTCCTGTTAACTTCATGTAGGTGAAATACTGTCGTTGCACACGGAAAGGTCCCGTAGCTACATGATAAATGTGTTCTAATCATACATCTGTGGGTATCACAAGATTACAGCTATGATACTGTTAGAATATCACAGTTTAGAAGTCACACTTGGCAAGCAGGATCGGTTGAGTGACGATAGCACTTAAAGCTTCACAATGCGCATCCAACGCTAATTTCTCAGTACTAGACTAGCAATACTTCGTTTCATGCATAATCTACTCCTTCTGGCAATTAAACTCTGTTCCTCCCAGTTCACTGGCGCGTTGTCTTTATAAAAGGTATTTTGGGAATTACCTCCAATGTTGGTTTGAAATTCTCCGCATGTTGTTTGAACCAGTTTTCCCCAAGCAACCGCTGTAGCGGGGGCTACGGGGTACGCGGTACGGTGCGCAGCAGAAGGATAAACATGCTGACATTCCCGTCACCACTTCGAGGCTATTTTGGTTTGTGC